ATGTCAAGTGAAGTGACAAGAGCTGAAAACGAATATTCTAAAAAGACTCATATACATTCTATATCTGAAATAACAAACTTAAACGTTAGCCTTGAAAAGAAAGCGGATAAGGAATATGTGGCTAGTAAGTTAGAGAAGAAAGCAGATAAGACTCATACACATACAAGTTTTACAACTTTTACAGCAGATGATATTACACTAAACACAACCTTGCCAAGTAAAGGTCCAACAATACCACCGGCAACAAGTCTTGTAGATACTTTGATATCTAATGACAATAGTATTATACATCTAAGACAGGAACTCAATGTGCTTAAACAAATTTTGCCGAATCTTATTTACCCGGTTGGCTCATTATATGTTTCAATGAACTCTACCAGACCAGAAGTAGTACTTGGTGTTGGTGCATGGGAACAAATAGTCGACAGGTTTTTGTATTGTGCAAACTCTTCAAAGGAAACAGGTGGAAGTAAAACGATTTCAGGTGAAAATTTACCTGCACACAGTCACTACATAGATTTAAGTACATCTCAAGCAGGTTGGCATAAGCATAGATATTGGGATTGGTCAGGAATGACAAAAGGTAAAGGATATGATGTTAAAGACGACGTTAAGTTTGCTATAAATTGTTACTGGAGTGACACTCAGGGAGAAGGAAACCATACACATCACGTTTCAGGATATACGCAAACAACGGGACAAAGTAAAGAATACATGCCACCTTACATGACAGTTTACACATGGTATAGAATTGCTTAGTCGTCATTTTCAACTTCTTTAGCATATTCGTCAGGAGTTGTCTTATATTTGTTAGGAACTGTCTTTGAAAGTATACCACCTTGAACTTTGACAAGTTTGAAACGAGGTCTGACAATAGTAGTTTTATCTTCTGCTTGCAGTCTGTACATTTTGCCATGTTTGCCTAAAACTTCATAATATTCTCTTGTATACTTTCTTCTATTTTTACGAACACGAATGTGAGTACCTGTCGGGTTCCCATTGTTGTCATAGTCAATAGTATTTTCATATGGGTCGCGTTTAGGTATTTCTATTTTTACTTTGTCACCTTTCTGAAGTTTGAAGCCGGCATTCTTTCTTGTTTGTCTCTTTTGACTAAATTATTAAATATATAGTCTTTCTCTAAGTCAGGGTTGTTTTTCATTTCTTCGGGGAGTGGTTTCCCAAACCTTTTTGCTTACGGCTATTGTAAATATTTAAAAACTTGTCTCATCTTTGCCATGGAGAAGTGTCTATATTTGTCGTCATATGACATTTCATTTGCTTCACCACCTTGTGGTTGGTTTAAGTCTCTTAACATTTTTATACAACCGTCAATGACACCAAGAGCAGAATGGTTTTGGTCGACAATGAAATATTGGTTTACATTTTTTGAACGCAGATAGTTTTTTACATCATCTGATTTGAAAGAACTTTCACAGTCAGATGTCAGTTTTGTTGGATGGTATTTGTCAACGAATATTGTCAAAGCAGTTTTCACATCTAAAATATTTTTGGACCATAATGGTATGGCTTCACAGTATCTTGTGTTTTGACCGACAAATATTAGCCAGTATGGTGGTCCATCTGTTCTAACTCTCGGAATGTTTTCCAAGATATCCATAAACCAAGCATTTGGTGTTGAACTAAAGATTTTTATCATGAGTGCTTTCTTTGTCGCTTTAGAAACATAGGGGTCCTTGTTTGGATTCGTCATTTTTTATCCTATAAGAAATGGGTTTATTTGGCGCATTAGCAGGAGTTGCATCCAGATTTTTGCCCGCAGTGGGAACAATAGCCAGAGGTGTATTTGGAGTTGGAAGGAAGATTTTGAGTACATTAGGTATACTTAAAGAGAAAGCACAACCTATTATACAAACTGTACAGAAAGGTTGGGATGTAGCACGAGATGCAACAAATCTTATTCCAAATCCTGAAACAAGAGGAAAAGTTCAAGGATGGATGGACAATGTAGGAAGACAAGCAGGAAACTATTATAACAAAGCAAATGACTACTATAACCAAGCAGGACACTATATGGACCAAGGTGAAAGATTCTTTAACAGAGGATATAACCATGCACAACAATGGGTAAACAATAACCAACCTCAACCGCCTCAAACGTGGGGAATGTAAAGTTTTTTACTGAGATGAAATGAACAATACAGCATTGAGACAAATGGGTTCAAGATGGATTTGTCGGCTTCCAGCAGTTACACCACGTGTTTGTCAAGTTCTTCCTATACCTCAGGAAGTTTTAGACCGACTTAAAAAACAACAACCAGTTGAAAACAAACCAAACTAAAATTTTTTACTGAGATGAAATGACCGAAGAAGTTGAAACGGTAGATTTGACACCACAAACAAAAAGTTCAGAACCATTGTCAAAACCTGTCAAAGAACTTACAGATGAAGAGAAAAATTCAATAATAGAAAGTGCCAGGTCTGGAAATACAAACCCTAACTACAAAGTCACTTTTCATAAAAATGGAACGGCAAGTATCTCAAAAAAGAAACAGACTCTCACAAATAAAATATTGAAGTCTGAAGGAGCTTTCGAGACAACAGATGGAAAAGTTTACTTCACTGACCAACAGTTCATTATAGAACATCTCATTGACTTAGAGTCGAAATATTCTAAACTTTACAACAAACACAAAAAGTTGAAAGGAAAACAAAAACAAATGGCATATGATATTTATGAAGATGTTGACGACACAACTGTTCCTGCAAGTGAAGTAAAGTCAGAGAAACCGAAAAGTGACGAAAAACCGATAGAAGAAGAAAAACCAAAAAACTGAAGATAAACCAAAACCAAAGTTTAGTTTGGAAACTAAACCAAGTCAACCTTCATTAGCTGGTATGGGTTGGCGTCAAAGACTTATGGCAGCAGGCGGTTATGTAAAGTAAAGAAAAAATATTTTTTTATTTTTATAAAAATGCCCCCATATAGAATGGATAGAAAGTCTGCTAGAATAAAAGCAGAGTTACAAAGATATGGTTGGAGAGTTTCGAAGAATTTTAAATATAGGAAGGGAAGACCCATAAAAGTCTATGACAAATTGTCTGGTCTTCGCTACGAAATGGATTTGGAAACAGCACGTGCAAATTATCCAAACAGACTAGAGAGGTTAGAAGAAGAACGTCTTATGGACATGCCTTTCGATGTGTTAAACATTGCATGAAGTAAAAAATTTATTTTTAAAAAGTGACATTTTTTAATTTTATTTGAAATGTACGCTGAGTTTGTTGGAGACGACCGTTGGGAAACTTGTTTGTTAGATGAGAAATATGAAATGGCATACCATTTTAAAACAATATATTTTTACATATATTAAATGCTTCAGGTTGAAAAACAAAGAACAAAAGTAGCAGATACAAAACCGTTAGACTATATCTTTACAAATGCTGGTAGGACTATTTCAGATGAGAAATTTCATCCCGAGTATACAGGTTTGACTATCCAATTCGTTGGCTTCAAAGTCCTTCAGATGCAAAGGCAATAGGATTTAGAAGAGTTTTGTTTTCAAATAGAACTAACGCATTTATGTTCGCAGTATATTTTCATGGGCAGTATAAAGGTTCTGATGGTCTAATAGACAAATTTGACGAAATGAGAATCTTTACAGTTCGTTCAGACGAAAGTCTTGAGAAAACTCTAAATGACTTTCAAACTCAAATGAACAAATATTATTGGGAATTTCAAGAAAAATACGACTCTTTACTAAATGGAACATACTATCTGAAACTAGAATATGACAAGATGAACTCCACCGTTTCATTTCAAAAGATTGAAATTAACCCTCCAAGAGATACAGAGTTTTTATTTTGGAAAGTAGACAAACGTTCTTGGGCACAATTTCTTCGGTTACTAAACCAGAACGAACCATTACCACCAGATGGTCCATTTAAATTTATACTTCCACCAGCAGATTTGACAGTTTTATAGAAACGTGTTTGACCCTCAAAATGTTATGTGTCATGCAAGTTTCAGTTCAAGCAACAATAGTTTTCTATGTATTGGTAAGGACTTTTATGACTTTGCTTCTAAATTCTACGAACCACCTAGTAACAGTTTCTCTGACTTTCAAGTTTGGTTCACAACAAATGGTGTGCAACATATTATTCCATTGTACTATGACTTTTATCTCGAATTGTCTTTCATATATAACTACGGAAAAGTGCTGAAAAAGTATTGAAAAATAATGTTTATGTTAGAATGTTAGATCTAACACGTTTTCTAACACGTTTTCTAACATCGTAGAAAACTCATGAAAACAATTTATTTTTGACACTTTCACAAAAAACATAAAAAAGTGAAGTTAAAATGAGATGTTTACTGAACTGGTTGGATGTCGCCTTCACAGGTTATGTAGAATGGTTGACCCGAGAAGTGGAACAGTGCTCTGAGAATTTGTATAATTCGTGGAATTGGACTCTCTCTGTTTGGAAGTAGTATCCAAGGACGTTTGTTTAGGAACTTAACAAGAGCTTCTTTCTTTGCTTGCTTTATGTCGTCGAAAGGAGTGTTTTCTGGTATTTGAATTGGAATTCCAGTCGAAGTCTCGAGATTCAAGCAGCCTTCCAGAAATAGTGGTGAACTTGACCTTGGGCTTCATGACCTTGCGCAAGTAGTAGTCTTTTACGCAGTCGTTAATTTCAATTAGGTAAACTGCCTCGTCAAATCCTTCTGGCATTCCGAGTCCTTCCATCCGACAGAAAAAGTTTTTCCTTCCGACAGAAAAAATTTTTCCTTCCGACAGAAAAAGTTTTTCCTTCCGACAGAAAAAGTTTTTCCAGTTTTCCGTCCGTAAACCATTCAAATTTTCGAAAATTGAGAACTTTTTGGTCGAACTTCAGAAAAAGTTTTTCCTTCCAACAGAAAAAGTTTTTCCTTCCGACAGAAAAAGTTTTTCCTTCCGACAGAAAAAGTTTTTCCTTCCAACAGGAAAAGTTTTTCCTTCCAACAGGAAAAGTTCTTCCTTCTGACAGGACACAAACGAATGTCCCACGTCCCACCAACCCAGTCCATTCCCAAACCAGAGGAACCTAAAGAACCACAACAGTCTCCTCAGCAACCTCAGTTCCAGCAAGTACCTCCGAATTTCTACCAATTTCCACCTCAAGGTTACTACCCACCACAAGGCTTCCCGAACTACCCTCCTCTGCCTATGCCTTACTTCCCCAACCCTTGGATGTTCCAGCAAGCTCCACCCCAGCAATTCCAATCTCAATCCAAATCGAAGAGAGACCAAGAGTTCGAAGAAGGTCTGAACCGTTTACGCAAAGAGTATGCTACAGCTCCAATTGAGAGAAAGTTGTTCCCGGACCAAAAATATAATTTAGGTGAAGAGGTTAGATCTAACACGTTTTCTAACACGTTTTCTAACCTCATGAATTTTCATGACTTCTTCGTAAATGTTTTGTCATGACTTCTTCGTAAATGTTTTGTCATGACTTCTTCGTAATGAGTGTAAAGGACCCAAAAATAAAGTTTATGTTAGAATGTTAGATCTAACACGTTTTCTAACACGTTTTCTAACCTCTTGAATTTTCATGACTTCTTCGTAAATGTTTTGTCATGACTTCTTCGTAAATGTTTTTGTCATGACTTCTTCGTAAATGTTTTGTCATGACTTCTTCGTAATGAGTGTAAAGGACCCAAAAATAAAGTTTATGTTAGAATGTTAGATCTAACACGTTTTCTAACACGTTTTCTAACCTCATGAATTTTCATGAATTTCCTTAAGATAGAAAAAATAAAGTTAGTTTTATTTTGTATTTTTTTGTATGTAAGATATGATTTCAGGGATTTTTTTGACGAAGTGTCAATGTTCACTTCGTCAAAAAATAACAGTTATCTAATGAAAAGTGTCAATTTTTTGTTGTTTTTTTTGTATGTTAGATATGATTTCAGGGATTTTTTTGACGAAGTGTCAATGTTCACTTCGTCAAAAAATAACAGTTATCTAATGAAAAAGTGTCATGACTTCTTCGTAATGTTTTGTCAAGACTTCTTCGTAATGAGTGTAAAGGACCCAAAAATAAAGTTTATGTTAGAATGTTAGATCTAACACGTTTTCTAACACGTTTTCTAACCTCATGAATTTTCATGAAATTTACAGCAAAAATAAAGTTTATGTTAGAATGTTAGATCTAACACGTTTTCTAACACGTTTTCTAACATGGTCTAAAACTTTCGAAAATCATGAAATTTACACCAAAAATAAAGTTTATGTTAGAATGTTAGATCTCACCTGTTTTTTCACCTGTTTTTTCTAACCTCTTGAATTTTCATGAATTTTCCCGAAATAAAAAATAAAGTTAGTTTTATTTTTTTTATTTTTTTTTATTTTGTATAAAAAAAATAAAAATGTCAAACAATCGGCACAACAGCAATACAAACAACTACAGCACCAAACTCTTTAGTCATGAATCCAACATCTATGTTAGTAGAGATGAAAAGCTTCATTCCTTCTTCATATACTTTCGAAACAAAAATCCAGAAGATAAAGCAAGAACTTTTAACAAGTAATTTAGACTGTAGTGCGAAAGATGAAACAAATGAACAGTATCTTTATGAAATGGAGGACATTATTGACCATTTGCCTAAACTACCTGAAATTCAGCAACAAAAACTAACTATTCCTGAATTTGACGAAATTGAAGTCAAAGCAACTGACTCAGTAGAAATAAAGAAGTTCATACGAAAGGTAAACTATGAGTTTCTAGGATTTCATTGCAACCATAAGGTTATGGACAAAGATTGCGATATGGTATATAAGAACATCTCTGACATATATAAATCTGAAGAATTTAAGACCTACGACAACTTTGTTTCGTTAGTTGCTGAATGTGTATGGCAGATAAGAGATAAAGATAGAAGAGGCAAAGTATGGAACAAACAAATAAGACCCGCTATGTTTGAGATGAAGAGAGCAATTGACGCTTAAGTTGTTTTAGCTGGTATAAGGTTTCAGAATATAACGCAAAAAAATGAACCCGCAATGTTCTAAATGTAAAGCAGCAATGAGGAGATATAACTACTCCGTCAAAGAGATAGAAAGAATGAGAAACGACTATGCAGATTTAAAGAAAGAAGCAGAAAAACCAGCAGAAGATAAAATGGACATGTTAGAATTTCTGAACAAAAACTATCCAACAGCAGAAGATTTCCTTCTATCTGACGTCAAGAAGAAATATAAAGAAACCTTCGGCATTGTTAAAACATTCGATGTACTAAAAGAAGAAATAGAGGCTACAAAACTGTTTAAAGTCATGAACCATCGCAACATATACCATGTAAAACGCTTGTAAATAGTTATGTTAGAAAACGTGTTAGAAAACATGTTAGATCTAACATGCTAACATAAAATATATTTTTGCTGAATTCCGTATGAAATTTCATGAGTTTTGTGTGTTTTAGACCATGTTAGAAAACGTGTTAGAAAACGTGTTAGATCTAACATTCTAACATAAAATATATTTTTGGTCATTTACAATGAAGTCTTGACAAAAACTATCCAACAGCAGAAGATTTCCTTCTATCTGACGTCAAGAAGAAATATAAAGAAACCTTCGGCATAGTTAAAACATTCGATGTACTAAAAAAAGAAATAGAGGCTACAAAACTGTTTAGAGTCTCACGAATTCATAACGTTTACCATGTAAAACGCTTGTGAGAAAACGTGTTAGAAAACGTGTTAGATCTAACATTCTAACATAAAATATATTTTTGGTCATTTACAATGAAGTCTTGACAAACAATGGAATCTCTTCCTTCGGAAAACCGAGAGAAGCAATCATATGACAAAGTCTTGACAAAACATTTAAGTTCGATGAAGTCTTGAAATTTCATGAGTTTTGTGTGTTTTAGACCATGTTAGAAAACGTGTTAGAAAACGTGTTAGATCTAACATGCTAACATAAAATATATTTTTGCTGAATTCAGCAACAAAAATCGTGAATTTCCTTAAGACAGAAAAAATAAAGTTAGTTTTATTTTGTATTTTTTTGTATGTAAGATATGATTTCAGGGATTTTTTTGACGAAGTGTCAATGTTCACTTCGTCAAAAAATAACAGTTATCTAATGAAAAAGTGTCATTTTATTTTTTTATTTTGTATGTAAGATATGATTTCAGGGATTTTTTTGACGAAGTGTCAATGTTCACTTCGTCAAAAAATAACAGTTATCTAATGAAAAAGTGTCATTTTTTGTATTTTTTTGTATGTTAGATATGTTTTCAGGATTTTTTTTGACGAAGTGTCAACCTTCACTTCGTGTCAATAATGTAAAAATAACGCTTACCATGTAAAACGCTTGTGAAAAAAACAGGTTAGAAAGGAGGTTAGATCTAACCTTCTACCCTAAATTATATTTTTGCTGAAATTCCGTATGAAAATCTGAGTAAAATGGCATAAGATTGCTTCCCTCGAAAACCGAGAGAAGAGATTCCGTATGAAAACAGTGAAGAACAGCGAGTAGGTAAGAAACCTTAGTCGCCTAAAACTCATGAAAACAGTGAATTTCCTTAAGATAGAAAAAATAAAGTTAGTTTTATTTTATTTATTTTTTTATTTGTATGTAAGGACAGATATGTCAACAACAGAGAACACACAACAACAGTTATAGTCCATGAAGCCATAAATGAAGAAATATGAGTGGGTTCAGTATAACAAACAACTCCGTCTCATTCGTTCGGTCAAAGACGATATGTACCAGAATGCAAAGTATTTTGACAGCATGTTTTGCTCCGATACCAAACATACAGACGATTGGTTCAAAAACCAAAGCACACAACTTTTGAGCGAAGCCACAGCGAGACCGACTTTTTTCGGGGTCGCCCCCCCCCCCCACCCCCCCCCCCCCCCCCCCCCCCCACCCCCCCCCCCCCCCCCCCCCCCCCCCCCCCCCCCCCCCCCCCCCCCCCCCACCCCCCCCCCCCCCCCCCCCCCCCCCCCCCCCCCCCCCCCCCCCCCCCCCCCCCCCCCCCCCCCCCCCCCCCCCCCCCCCCCCCCCCCCCCGGCCCCCCCCCCCCCCCCCCCCGCCCCCCTCCCCCCCCCCGCCCCCCCCAAAAACTCATCGAAAATCGTAAAAATTTGCCAAATGGTTTGAGAGGTTGGTATGTACATAGACTTCTTGTAAATGCTGTTGCAATGTGGGCTTCGCCTCGTTATGCTTGGTATATTTACAGACTTCTTGACGAAATTCATAGACAAGAACGTGAAGAGATGGAAAAGAAACTTCAAGCAAAAGATGAAGTCATTGAAGCAAAAGACAAAAGCATTCAGAAAGAATACCACGTTCGGTACCAAAAGGAAAGGAAAAGAACTATAAGTAATGATTTATACTGAAGAGTTGGAGAAAGAAGAAGACAGAGATATGGTTATGTTGCATTTAGTCAGAAGAAACAACAAAAGCTTTTACGACCTTGCTAAGATTTACAAATCTGACAGAAATTGGTTCTATCGCGAAAACTTACCGATTTCAATGACAACGAATGAAGATGTGAAACAAATAGTTCAAGATACGTTACCTCAAACACACTATGATATTAAAGGTTGTACAAACTTACATTCAAAGAAGACTTACCGCTACTGAAAGAAAAAATAACAGATTTTGACAACTTCAAACAAGTAGGGTAAATTGCACTCTATTTTTTTACGCTGACTTCAGATGGCTCAAGTAGCTCAATTAGGTAAATTGCCTCGTCAAATCCTTCTGGCATTCCGAGCCTTCCATCCGACAGAAAAAGTCCTTCATCCGACAGAAAAAGTTTTTCCTTCCGACAGGAAAAGTTTTTCCCGACAACTGGAAAAAATTTTCCCGACAACTGGAAAAAATTTTCCGGACAAAAGAAAAAATTTTCCTTCGACAGGAAAAAATTTTCCAGTTGTCCGTCCGTAAACCATTCAAATTTTCGAAAATTGAGAACTTTTTGGTCGAACTTCAGAAAAAGTTTTCCCCGACAGAAAAAGTTTTTCCTTCCGACAGAAAAAGTTTTTCCTTCCGACAGGAAAAGTTCTTCCTTCCGACAGGAAAAGTTTTTCCTTCCAACAGGACACAAACGATGACTGACGTTCCTCTTCCTGAATGCTTCCAAAGCCAGAAGAACCGACAGCCCCAGCACCACAACAGACTTACTAAGACTAAACATTAGATTTTTCAAGCTTGACTTTTTACAATTTGAACTTTGTTTGCGTAGATATGAATTCTGAAAGAAGTATGAGTCTTGTATGACTTTGTTACTTCTCCCATAGTTCATGTCTGTCAAACTTACCTGCCATGGACTCTTTCATAAGTTCCATGAAATCGTCTTCGGACAATCCAGGGAAAAGTATAATGTCAGTAAGTATTCTTTTAACATCCTTACTTAAACTCTTTGCTGTCTGTACACAAATGACAACTGAGATGTTAAAGTGTCTGAGCT